GCGGAGGAGGGGAGTCGGGGGCGGGCGAGGCGGGCGAGTCCGGGGCCACCGTGCCGTTGCTGTGCTCGCTGCGCAGGGACGAGAGCGACGTGCGCAGCGGCGAGCGCACCACCACGGCCATCCCGTAGGGCACGCTCTGGCGCACGCCGTAGCCGTGGCGCATGCCGTTGGTGAACTGGCCCTGGTAGGTCCCTGCGGGCGAGGAGAGGGCGCGTCAGTGGCCGGCTCGCGGGCCCTGCGGGCGCGGGGCGGCGGGCCGGGGCGAGGAGCGCGCAGGTGGGAGGGCCGGCGAGGCTGGGGTGGGGAGGGGGGCCGTCCGTGACGGTGCGAGGACGTCAGTGGGCAAGCCGGGAGGCGATCACGCAGGGGTGTGAATACTCCCGGCGGTGGGAACGCACAAGGTCACCGTGGGCGAGGCAGAGTGAGGTCGTGCGAGTCCTGTCAGTGTGTGAAGCTGTGTGAGCAGGCAAGACCCCGGAGTGCATGCGGCTAAACGAGTGTGTGGGGACACAAGTGGACGGCCAGGAGTTTGCGCACGATGGTGTGAATATTTCCGGTGGTGGCCACATGGCCGGGTCACAGTCGGCGAGACAGAGTGAGGTCGTGTGAGTCACATCAGTGTGTGAAGCTGTGTGAGCTCCCAGAGTGCATGCCGTTAAACAAGTGTTCCAGGACATGAGTGGGTGGCCAGAAGCAGTTTGCACAATGGTGTGACTATTTCTGTTGGTAGGAACACAGCTAGGTCACAAGTGTGCAAAATAGGATCTGTCAGTTTTAAAGTGTGAAGTTGTCCAACCAGACGAGGTTTGGTGAGTGTGAATTTGGATGAGTGCACAGATTTTGAAACACCCAGGAGAGACTGAACATGCAAGAGAGTGATTGGGCAAGACAGTGAGTTTGTGTGGTAGGGTGAATATTTGCATGTGTGGGAGTGTGCAAGGTAGTGGGAGCATGTTGAATCATGAGTGTGCAAGGCAGTGTGCACACAGAGGGTGACTGAGATCACATGAGTGTGACATAATGGATGTATCATAAGGTCACGAGAGTATTTGAGGTCTTGAGTGTGTAAGGAAAGGCAAAGTTGAGTGAGGGTGCAAAACCATTAGAAATTCAAAGAGTGTGGAGTGGTATAAGCAGCCACATCTGTTGGTATGTGAGGTTAAATGCATGTGCACAGTCATCCTATTGTGCAAGGTGATGTGCATGTTCAAGCTCATGAAAGGATAAGACAGTGAGTTCACAGAGTAGTGTGAATGCTAGAGAGCATAGGACTCTGTTGGAAAGCATGTGAGAGTGTGTATCTGTGCAAGGCCATGTGTATAGAAGACTTTTATGGACATGCATGTCAGTGTCTTTTGATTATACGAGATCATGAGTGTGCAATACAGTGTGTACACAGTGGGGTAAGTGTCCAAGTTCCTGGAGGTGACATTATGGGTGTGTGGGAGGTTCTGAGTGTGCAAAGCTCTCTCAGTGTTAAAGCACAGAGTAATATGTAGCACTTGAGGCTGAGTGTATGAGGTTGTGGGCATTAGGGAAACCGAGACTGTGTGAGACCATGTGTGTGCAGGATAGTGTTGTGTACAAGGAGATACCCGCAGTGGAGGCCCTGTGTGTCCGTTAGTGTGAGCACGTGAGCTCCTGGGAACAACAGTCTGTGTAAGTAGTCCACTGAAAGCCAGGTCCCTGCCTTCATCTTCATGCCTTCAGCATGTAGAACAGTGCCTGCCATAATGTTCACTGAGTTGAGGGAGGAAATTCAGAGCCTTTGTTTTAAACACAAGCTTCTACTTTACCCTAGTTAACCAAAAAAAACCCCAAATGGCCTTCTTCCCAGCAAATGCCCAGCATGGGTAGGGAACTGAAACAGTGAGCCAGGTAAGGGAATTCCTAAGCTCCGCCCAACAGGTGTGCTTTCGGGCCTTTGCACCGGCTGTTCCCTCTGCTTGGAACTCTTTTCCGCCAGATCTGCCTGCACTTCCACAAGCACCCAGGTATTCCCCGATCTACTTCTGTTTTCTATAGTATGTATCCTTTTCTAACATATCATATGACTTAATTATTATATTCATTGCTTTCCTTTCCCCACTAGAAGAGAAGCTCCATGAGGGCAGGGATCTTTCCTGTTTTGGTCTCCAGTGCAGCCCCAACAGCTGGAATAGGGCCTGGCACATAGGGGTGCTCCATAAATAATTTGCTGATTGATTGGCTGAACTTGTCTGGAAACTCCATCTCATTGTGTGACCTTGGGCAACTCTCTTCCCTTCTTAAGGCCTTAATTGCCCTGTCTGTCAATGACGTGTTGGATATGAAGCTTTCTAAAGTTTGGCCTAACTTTGAGATGCTGGCTTTCTAGGAATTGGGCACCGTGACTCTGCAGGTCAAGGAGAGTGCGTCCACGTAACTCCACATGCCCGGTCCCTCCCGGCACAGGCTGCTCCAGCTCAGGCCTCCAGTCCTGTCCTTCCCCCAACCCTTCTGCATGAAGAGACCCCATTAAGAGTCACGTAGAGTGCCCAGGGCTCATTGAAACCTCTCAAAGGTCCTATCAGGTGGGTCCCAGTGATGATGCTTATTTATGGAAGAGGAAGATGGTGGTCTGAGAGGTTAACTGACTTGGGCAAGGAAGCAGAATCCAAACCCAAATCTGTCTAATGCCCAAAGCTCACGCTCTGAGCCCACAGTTCTCTATCCTGGCTGCCCTTCAGAAGCTCTAAAAAATACAAATTTCCGGACCTCACCCCCAGAAAATCTGGCTTAATTTGCTGGGGAGGGTCCCCAGTTCTTGCAGTCTCTCTGTACAGCAGGCAGGAGCAGCCAGTGGGGAGAGGGACATCAGAACTCCCTTCAATGTCCAGCCATGAAAAACCAATGACCATAGAATATGAACTGTAAAAGGGCCAAAGAGAAGTGGAGAGAGACAGAGAAAGGCAGTATCACTGGGCATTATCTCATAGAGGAAGATATAAATATGATCTCCATTTCACAGGTGGAATGGTTCAGAGAGGTTATGTGACTTGTCCAAAGTCACCCAGTAAGGAAGGAGCAGAACTGGATTTGAAACCAGTTCAAATGGGCATGTGTGGCAATTGCAAAGAATAGAGAAATGAGAGCATGGTGCAGGGGATGATCAAATGGGGAGATGGATAGATGGAAAACTAATGTGTTCCCATTTCCAAGCTCATTCCCATGTGGTCACATTGTATGGGAGGCAGGGGGACAGATAGAGATGTGAAGTCCAAGACAAACTGATCTCAGACATCATCTAATCTGGAGAACCTTGAACAAATTACTTCTCCTGATTCTCAATTTGCTTATCTGGAAAATGGAAAAATAATACCCACTTTTTAGAGTTCAGGGGAAGATTAAAAAGGAGACCACAACAACAACAAAATAAAAACAACCCAAATGTCCATCATCTGGTAAATGGATGGACAGGTAGTCAGCCACACAGTGGAATACTGGTCAGCATTAAAAAGGAATAGACTGATTGTACAGCATGGATCTCAAAAACATACTAAGCGAATAAAGCCAGAGATGAACGAATACAAACTGTGTGATTCCAATTACATCAAAGGCTGGTAAAAGCTAATGTAGAGTGAAAGAAAGCAGATCTGTGGTTACCAGGGCTGTGGGTAGGAGGGATCCACTGCAAAGGGACGTACGGGAACTTCCTGAATTGACAGAAATGTTCTATACCTTGATGTGCTGGTGGTTACACAGGTGTACGCATTTGTCAAGACTGTACACTTGAAATGCATTTTATTGCATGGAAACTATACCGTGATTTAATAATTAATTAATTAATTAATTAACTAACTTTTAAGGAGGAAAAAAAACCCCAAAACACAAACACCCCAGTACAGCATTCTGCAAATACCCATCAGGAAATCCTGTCAACTCTCCTTTCCAAGTGCATCTGAAATCCAGCCACTTCTCACCACCCTCACTGCTACTAGATGGTAGCCCAAGCCACCCTTGTCTCTCGCCAGGATTTTCATAATGGTGGGCACGATGGTCTGTTTCCACCCTGTGCTCCTCTATCCATTCCTAGCACACCTATCATGGGGATTCAGTTCAACTGTAATAAAGTCAAAATCACAACACTGCTCTGCCTCTTCTCATTCAGAGGAAAAGCTGAAGTCCTTAGTGATCCATGGACCCTACCTGATCGCATCCCCCTCATTGCTCTATCCTCATTCACCTCCCTCAGTTCTCCCCTTTCCCTCAGTCCACTGTAGCCACAAAGGCCTCCTTGCTGTTCCTCCCACACATTAGCCACGGTCCTGCCTCGGGGCCTTTCTGTTTGCTGCTCCCTCTGCCTGGAATGTTCTTCCTCCAGAAATCTGCATGGCTCACTCCCAGAGAGGTATTTAATGGTTCCTATAAGACTCACTCAAGGCAACACAGTTAATAAATACACCAAAACTCACATCCTTGTTTACCTGTGCTCCTTCCGCTGTGCTCAGAAGAAAGAAGAAAAAAAAATCTGTGAAAGGGGAAAGTGAACAAGAGTAGAACAGAGAAGATGGTAAACTGGGAGAAAGCAGAAGACATCTAATCTCTGGATTAGACAAGTTTGTGAAATTAAATCAGCCAATCTACCTTTAGCTTAAAGTTGGCATGAGATGGGCTCACATGGTCCCTTTAAGCCCAAGAAAAATTGAGATTGCAACAGGAGAGCGGCTCTTGGCCACCAGTTGGGGAGGAAACGGCCAGGCTATATTAGGAAACTTACAAGCAAGTGGCAAGAGGCACAGACACCCAGGGGAGGCTGGGAGTGATGGGGCCCTGGGAAGGGGGAAAAGCCAAGTGCTGGGCCATCCCCAGCCTGACTCTCTCTAAGACAGGACAGTTCTCCCTGGGGACAGGAAGAATGCATCCGCATCCGAAGAGAGGGAGCAGAAGGACCCCGCCCACAGCCATCTGGCTGAGAGGAGCTTTCTGTGGAAGGAAGTGCCTCCTGATAACCTTTGGGCTGGCCCCCTCACTTGGACTTATAGACTCTGTGAGACTTCCCACTGCCCTCAGGGTGAGGGGCAAGATTCTCAGCAGGCTACAAGGCCTGGTGTGGCTGCCCCTGACCCCCTCTCCTGACTCATCTTGAACAACTCTCCAGTCACACTTGCCTTTCCACCTCAGGACCTTTGCACATGCCCCCCCACCCCCACCCCAGCATCTTCTCCTCTCTTCCCTTGGCCAACTTCTATTGATATTTCAAGCTTCAGCTTAAATGTGACGTCATCTGGGAGGATTTCTTGAGCCCTACCCCCTGAGTACTGCTACGTGATGTCATGTCGCCCTGTACTTCTTCTTGGTACTTCTCCCAATTGCAGTTAAATAATTACTAAGATCATCTGTTCACTATAAGCCTTTCCCACTGGACTTTTCCAAGAGGGAGGGAGCCATGTCCAGCTTACTCCTGCTACGATTCCAGCTTTTGGCATAGTTCCAGGCCCAAGGAAGCCCACAGTAAATGTCTGATGAATCTGCGTCTTCTCCTCAGTGACACCTTCCCATTCTTCCAGGGGCAGGAGCCACATTTTCTTTTTTCCCTCATGCCTCAGCACGTGATAGGTGACTCAGTAGTGACTGGCAGTGGCTGCCAACGTGTTCAGGTCTAGATTTAGCAGCCCAAACCCCAGGAATTATTGGGGTACATGTAAAAGTCTTGTGAAGGCCGTAACAAAGTTCTGTCCCTCACAGCAGGCTCCTAAATTTTATAAAACCTGAATATCACCTTCTTGCTGCGGTTGCCCTTCTGGTTTAGTATACAATACCCTGGGTTTTTTTTTGTTTTGTTTTGTTTTTTATTTATTTATTTGACAGAAAGAGACACAGTGAGAGAGGGAACACAAGCAGGGGGAGTGGGAGAGGGAGAAGCAGGCTTCCTGCGGGGCAGAGAGCCCGATGCGGGGCTCGATCCCAGGACCCCGGGATCATGACCTGAGCCGAAGGCAGACGCTTAACGACTGAGCCACCCAGGCGCCCCCAATACCCTGGGTTTTAACCCTCACTCTGACACCAAATAGTTCTAGAACATGCGTGAACTATTTAAGCCTACTGAGCCTCCGTTTGTCCTTCTGAAGATGGAGGTAATGGTATCTATTTCAGATTATTGTTCACTCTTTTATTCGAATTCAGTATTTGCTGTGGATCCTGCATTCTTGGTGTTAGATGCTGGGGACACAGTGGTAAATAAGACACACGATCTCTGCCCTCAAGGGACTTGGAGTCGAGTGCCAGAGAGACTGGATTTAATTGACCACCAGAAATAAATGTGTACCTTGGCCGGTGGGGGAGGATTGGCTGACCACAGACTAAGTGAACCATACGTGAGGATGCTGGCACGCGGTAAGCGCTCCATAAACGTTAGCTTTTTGCCAGGCCAGAATCTTTGCTCAGAAACCTGGCCCAGACAGGATTAACTGGAGAGATGAAAAGGAGCCAGGGAGGACAGAAAGAACTCAGAGGGAGAGAATGAGACCAGCTCCATTTCCCGCCTTGGTCTGCTTGCTTGTGAGAAAGCAGGCTTCTCCCCTGGAATGCCCAGGCTTGGCTGACTTGGCCACCTCTCTGACTCGGGACGCCTTAAAGCGTCTGTCCTTGGGAGGAAGAGAATTTGGGAAGTCTGTTCATCGGCGAGACCTACTTCCACACCCTCTAAACACACATGACAGAGTAGCTTATGGAAGCCACATCTATAGCACAAGATCCACCCTCCTGGCCAGAGAGTATGATTTAAATGATGTGGACGCTGGAGTTTTTATAAAGCACCTCTGATGGTTTTAATATGCAACTTGAGTAAGAGCTGTGAAACCTCTCCGCTGACCTCCAGTTAACCAGTGGGCTCCGTTCTTTCGGTCAAACCTGTAACTTGCTGTGCCTGGCAGGTGTTGTGATCCTGGTTGTTACCCAACTGCAGACCTCTCCTGTGCTGATGGAACCTCATTCTGTTCTGCGGCCCAGCCTTCCTCCCTGGGCCTTAGAGAAAGGCTCCCCATGCAGGGGTAGACCCTGACTGCTCTCAGCCAGACTTCCTATCTACTCACCTTGCCAATGATCAGATTCAATGTGAGCATTTGATGAAATCCAGCATCAAGACCAGAGGGGAAGCAGAAAAGAGCTCCTCTTTCTTATAAAGAGAAACATGCAGAAACATAGTCTTCTGCTGCTGGGTGTCGCTGCATGTGGAGGTGACCCCTGGAGCTGTGGTAGTCGACTTGGTACCATGCGGGGAGCTACTGAGAACAGAGCTGACGCGATGGATGGCAGAGCAAAATGTGGCAGGAATCTGGGCCCTTGTTGACACTGTTGAAGCTCCAAGTCAACCAAGCCCTACCTCTGGATTCTTCTTTACATGAGATCATAAATATCCTTATTGTTTTAGTCATGCTGTCCAATATGGTAGCCACCAGACGTAGGTGGCCATTGAACACCAGATTGCAAAGAATTAGTACCCCCCCAAAAAGAATGTAAAATATCTCACTAATAATTATATATTGATTACATGTAGAGATGATAATATTTTGGGTAATGGGTTAAATAAAATATATTATTAAAATTAATTTCACCTTTTTAAATACAGCTACTAGCAAAGTTTAAATTGCATATGTAGCCCACATTATATTTCTATAGAAAGTACTTGTTTAACTCACTTGGGGTTAGGATTTTCTATTACCTGCAGACAAAAAAATATATCCTAACAAGTATAGGTGTCATCATTCTGATTTCATAGTTGGAATAATTCAAACTAAGAATTTAAATGACTTAGTTTGAAAGGTTTGAAAACCCTCATCCAAACCTCATCTCTGAAGGAAGCCAACCATTTCAGAAGCCCAAGGGAAGTCTAGGAGATCCAGAGTCCACTTTGAAATAGAGAAGAGACATGTGGGCCAGATCAGGGATTCTGCCTCCAAATACAGAATGGACACTGAGAACACCACCCCCTCCGGCCAGTGACACCTGCCTATTTCTAGAAGACTGTCTAAAGTCTGAACATCAATGTCCCTGGAGGACTGAACAGAGATGGAGAGAGAAGAGTCATGACTGCTCCTCTCCGGGGGTGGGGTGGGGGGTCCCTGCTTCCTATGGAAGTCCTGACCTGACAGTCCAGTGTCTTCATGACCTGGTCCCAAGTCACCCTCCTAGTTTTGTCTTCCCAAATCCACCAAAGCCCAGCTTCAAAGCCACCTCCTTCAGGAAACCTTCCTGGGCTATCTTCCTTCCTCCATACTCTCATTACTTGAGACATTTGTCACTTCTCACCTCCTATGATAGCTATCTTGTCTCTATCTCATCTCTTTGGGCTAATAGCCATCCCTAGTCCTTCTCTAAGTTCTCTCACATAGGGTCAGATCTTAGGACAAGATCTTTGGACAGGACCATGAAAGTGTCATCAGCAGATTTCAGACAGGGTTTCAGGTGGAGAATGGCAGGTAGGGGACTGAGCACCAGAGAGTCCAGGGGTCAGTGGCTCTTGTCCAGGTACACCAGAATTGGACCAGGTAAACCAATGCGCATGGTGGTGAACAGGCATGCCCATATGCCACAGATACCTATATATAGATATATAGATGCTCCTGAGTATAGGGGACCCACCCCAGCTTGGCTCTAACCCACCTTGATAAAGACCATGGACCCAGTGTCCCTGAGAAAGCAAGCCAGGCCTAAGACGTCTTTGGGGGCAGCAGAATAATGGAAATTGTTTGGGCTTTGGAAACAGACAGGCCTGACTCTGAATATTGCTTTAATTTCCCCCACTTCTCTTTATCTCCAACTCATCCGTCTGGTCCGGGCTGCACAATTCTCCCTGGTTTACTACAAGAGCATCTTCCCTGATCTCTCACCTCCCCTGATACTTCAGTCCACCCTTTGCTGCTGCCAGAGTCATCTCTTTAATAAGATGTGGATCTGACCAGGTGACCCCACCTAAAACCCTGCAGTGGCTTCTGAGTGCCTTGAGGATGGTCTTGGGTCCTCAAGCAAAGATTGTATGTGAATGATTTGGGGGGAATGCTCTTGGGATGAACATCTATGAGGAAGCAGGATTCAACAGCAGAGGAAGTTGAACTGTTGCAACCAAGGCTTCCACTGATCCCATGGGGATCTCTGGAGCTGTTATGGCCCTTCAGAGTTGTCCAGGAGGCTGGGTCTTTGAACTCCTGTATCAAGCAC